AATATTTCAGATGCGTTCGAGTCATACGGTTCGATAGGATTCTCGTGCTTGTTTTGCAATCATGATTAACACTCGTGACAGGTGCTTTCTCTGTGGGCAAGATAAACGACGAGCAGCGCTTCGATGTTGTTCGTCACGCTTGCCCTGGTGCCGGGGCCTGCGGGGGCATGTATACCGCGAACACTATGAGTTCAGCGCTTGAAGTTCTCGGCATGTCTCTGCCTTACTCTTCTAGCACGCCCGCTCTGTATCCTGGTCAGTGGCATAGCATATACGCTTGTACTCTGCTAATCTAATTCTTTAGGAAAGACACAGGAGTGCATCAGAGCTGCTGGGTATTTGAAGAAGCTTTTGGCGATAGATCTCAAGCCTAGGTTTGTCGCGAATGCTATGAACCATCGAGAAACTTATCCGCTTTGATAGGGATATTGTCACTCGGCAGTCGTTTTTGAATGCCATCGTACTGATCAACATTCTGGGTGGTTCCACAAATGCGGTAAGTGGTCGAGATCCGCTGATTTCCTGCACTAATTTTATCCCAGGTTCTTCACTTGCTCGCCATGGCTCGATCCGCAGACGTGGAGCTGACTATCGACGACTTCCAAGTCATTTCAGACAAGACACCATATCTCGCCGACCTCAAGTAAGATCCACCGAACCGCACTTTTGATTCATGCTTAAAACACAACCAGGCCATCTGGCAAATACTACATGGAAGATGTCCATCGCGTTGGAGGAATCCCAGCCCTTCTAAAATATTTGCTTAATCACACCGACCTCATCGACGGCACCCAAATGACAGTCACCGGAAAGACCCTGGCGCAGAATCTCGAAGACGTCGAGGAGCTAGAGTTCGAAAAACAAGATGTAATTAGGAAGTTGGAGACGCCTCTCAAGAAGAGTGGCCACATCACAATCCTGCGAGGCAACCTTGCTCCTGGCACAGCTGTGGCGAAGCTGACAGGCCAGGAAGGTTCAAGATTTGAGGTTCGTCAGACCTGCGCTGAAAGACCATCAAAATTAATGACTGGCAAATAGGGAGAGGCCAGATGCTTCGACAGGTATGGCGGGCGGTAACTGATCCTTGATCATCTCTGACATCAAATTCCCGCAGTCTTGATGGATTCTACCCAGCTCTTGCAGCAGGGGAAATCAAACCCGGGATGGTTCTCATATTCCGATACCAAGGCCCCAAGGGAGCTCCTGGAATGCCAGAGGTAAGTATTCCTTCACCGAAAGATGACAGTGAAGCTCACTACGACCTAGATGTTGGGTGAGAGACTCGTATGAAACGCGCCGAACCTTCTAACATGTATTTTCACATGCGCATAGGACCAACTGGGGCCCTTATGGGCGCAGGGCTTGGAGATAGCACAGCGCTGATTACAGACGGGCGGTTCTCAGGAGCCAGTCGTGGCTTCATCATCGGGCACGTAGTTCCCGAAGCACGAGTGGGCGGACCAATCGCATTAGTCAAGGACGGCGATCGTATTATCGTTGACTCGGAAAAGCGAGCTATAGACTGGCTGGTAGACGACGAGGAGCAAGCACGTCGAAAGCAAGAGTGGGATGAATCCGACAAGGGCCAGCTCAAGGAGAAACGGGGTGTGTTGTTCAGATATGCTCGCGATGTTGCTGTGAGTAGCCAAGACTTGCTGTTTTGTCGCTTGCTGAAAGTCTTCGCGCAGCCTGCAAATGTTGGAGCATACACCGATTGAAGAACGGTTGTCGGCACGGCCAGAGGCAGATAATTACCAAAATGTAGAATAAATGAACGTTGTACAATTTGTTGAATCGATATATAGTAACGGAACCTTAGGACGGGGCGTGAGGGTCTTGTCCGTCCGACAGTGGCTCAGTCGCAGCATGGGCGAGCCCATTTGGGCTAGCCAACTCAATTCCGTTTCCCCCATCTGTGGACGTAGATTTGACGTGCTTGTGGTGCTTAAACCTATGCTTCTCCTCCACGATAACTCGCTCGCCCGGCTGTCGCTGACCGAGTACTACGGCGGGGTCGGGAGGTATGATGTATTTCTCGGGAGGTGGAATGACTGGTCTAGGAGGTTTCAAACCGGCTGCAACTTTCTTCTCTCTTATCTTTTCTCTCCGTTGGCGGACGAGGCAAGAGATGAGCGATAACGTCCAGCCCAGCACGAGAAAGAAGCCGCATATTGTCCCTGCTATGATTGGGGTTTTGGCGAGGTGACTGTGCTAGGAATAAGTGGACTAGATGACGCAACCGAAAGGCAAGCATACCCTTTCAGAGACGCAGCTTCAGAGGATGTCTCGGCGCGAGCCTGCATCGTCTGCGTCCAGGTTGCTGTATGAAGGGGCGGGATAAGAGAGCGTTTCCAACGAGGGCCGCGACGACTATACGCACATTCCATTCCAAATTATCCGGAAGAGCGATACTGGATTGTCTAAGAACTGAGGTTTGACAAGGTGGTCGAAACAGTGAGAAGCCGCAAACGGCGCGCTCGGGGGCATTGGGTATCAGGTCGACCCTCGGCGCCGCGGGTGGCTGACACCGGGTGCACAAAAGGATCTGCACTACGAAAAGATGTTGGAAAGATGTTGAAATTTATTTTGTGTCTTCTTGTGTATCTGTTGGGGATAGATATGGAGCATAACATTCACAATTTGTGTCAAGATCATCTATGTGCCCAGATGCTGCCACCTACTGTATGTCTTTTGTGTCAAGAAATTTCGATTGAATTTGTTTTGTCTGTTGCACGTAGAGATCTAATTGTTGATTTAAGATTATTTGCTAGTCTCGACCCAGCTGTTATAGGGGGAATTCCACGACTGCATGAGGGTAATTCCTAGTCTCTCCTAGACATCCTTCAAATACTCGTACCTCGTTCTTCAGTCTGTTGGTAAGGTCGGCACTTACCCGTAGGGTCCGAACTGACGTAAGCTTTGACCATGTGACTTCGATATTTTCGATTTTCGATCACTGACGACGCGTCGGGCTCCCTTATTGCTTCACCTCTTACCACTACGACCATAGCCTTTTCACGTGTTTAATCCTTAGATATCGCAGTAACATCTGTATGCACCCTCAATACATCTTTTCACTCCCCACGACTTCGCGTTCCGGGACCAAGCAACCCAGACTTCGAGGCTCGGCTTCATTGTTTCAAAGTCTAGGTCTATCTGAGTCTATCATCTTCATCAATTAGACTGATGTGATATCGACTCTCAATTCGTCGCCATCGAGTCCAACCGTGAGGGGATCAGGAACAAATTGCGGGTTAGGCCGCTCATTAGAGCGGCGCAGTCCGGTCAAAGAACTGGGAAAGAACCCAAGGCTATCGCATACAGACTCAGTTGCTTTTCCAGGTTGCAGCGTAGCAGTAAGAGCACAGATAGATTGCCGAGGAGGAAGACGGCACGAATGAATGACTCGATGAGCTTGAACTACAGACGAAAATCATCGTCCCATTCATTGATGAGATGTGCTTCATCGACGCAGGATTAGAATAGATTGCAACGGAAGATAGGATTATGGGTGATTATATGCCATTCCGGCTCTGAAAAATGTGTGGCGCGTGTTGGTGTGATCCATAGCGCAATACGAGAGTGAGCAGAGAAGAGACGCGACACGACAACGATTGTGTCCAAGTCGCGTCTCGCTCACTTGCCATTCTCGATCACATGCCCGTTGTCGTTTTGCTCACTGCACTCGGCATACGTCGCAGATCCTCTTCAATTTTTTCACTATAGAATAACATATCATACTCTATCCATGACCTTTTTCCTGAGCTCTTCAGATGTCCTCAAGCTATGTAGCTACCATCCGAATGCTGACATCCCCGCGCGCGCTCAGTCATATCAGCCAAACACCGTCCGAGCGCGACAAAAAAACTGTTAATGATTTATTGAATTGATCCGAATGACTTTGCAAGTACAAAGTTGCTATCGAGTGGAAGTAACGGCGAGGAGGAAAAGTTTGCAGATATTCAGACCTCCGGAATCCGAAAGCTTACGTCAGAGTTTACCCTCTCGATGCATGGGCGCGCTTACCACAGGACTAGGTAATTCCTACTATAACGTCTGGTATCACTGAACCGTGATGGAGTCGAGTAGCTTTTGAAACTCCGACTAGCCTTATGGAGTCTGTAATATCGCACTTCATGTGGCGCCTCATTTGTGGTCTCGCGTCGCTGTTCTCGTCAATTTGAGTGAATATAAGCACATCCCGCTCGTGAAACACGTTTAAAACAACAATGTGCTGAATGGTACTGATCACCCGTGGTGAGCAGATCACTGAGGAATGCAAACAAGCTCCCATAACCCTGGTCAGTCATGCAATCAAACATAACCTGCAGATGCGCACTGGATTCTGCCGACTCTTTCACTCTAGCAGCCTTCACTTCAGCCTCTCTTCGTATCTCTGCCTCCTTCGCATCTCTCTCGGCACGTGCCTGTCGAAGGTTTTGAATTTCGGCCAGGGAAGGAGTTTGGGCAATGCGGCGAGGACGTTTCGGAGTCAGAGTGCGGGGATCCACATGCAGAAACTGGTTTTTGTCAGTGCGAGACCGTTTCGGGTGGCTCATAGTGGAGAGAGGGTTGTTGTGAGCGCGTAATCGGACGTAGCACTCGATAAACAACGCGGACACGTCAAGGCCAAAACCCACGTGAAGCTGACAATTTGAGCATATTTACATACTCCATTTATCCTAGTCGGAGTTTGAATTCCTACTCGACTAAATCACGGTTCAGTGAGACCAGTCTACATAGGTACTATTAGCTGTGTAACTCCTCCCTCCATTTTCTCCCTCACCCCAATCACAATAATTAGTAGTACCGATGTAGACTGGGTTCGAGTCTAATTATTTGCCATGTCTGGCTACCCTGCCAACAAATCAACTAATTTTCGAGGCATTCTTTTTTAATCTGACTGTCATTTCTTCTGTTTTTATCTGGAATTCAAACTAGCTCACTCTATATTCTTACCCTGAAAATGCAAAAACAGAAGACAAAAGAGTAGCAAAAGATGATCGGCCCCGGGATCGATCCGAGTACCTTCAGTGCACAGCCACAACCGTTAACTGTTAGACTGACGTGATAACCATTTACACCAGCCGACCATGAATAATGCATTGATAGTAACAATATTGTCATACAAGGCCCTCAGATAGACATAATCTGTTTAATAAGTAAACTTGCTAGCTTATACATAGGTCTACTATAGTCTTGGACCATACTCTCATGACTTTCCCAATTTGGGCCCCTTGTTGTGAGAGTCTGGAATCTTGTGTATCGCTCTCGACTTCGTCTTGGCTCTATTCCCTGTGTGGTAGCTTTACAAAGCCCCTCAATGTGGTACCACTGTATATCCTAATGCACATTGTTTACTACTGGACCCGATATATAATGGCCCTGGGCAATCCTTGGTAAGAATGTGTGCCGTCACGTGACCTGTGGCGCCCTCCTAATGCCCAAATCTGTTGACCCAAACATTTTCTGATATCTCACTCACGCACAATGGTGCTTACTGCTCTCAATCCTTCATGAAACCTTAGCTTTAACATACAATTAGACACAGTGCATTTTTTGACGGCTACAAAGATCGCGATCACGAGATACAAAGACCAATCCAACTGGGCCTCGGCACCTCATGTCAATCAAAAGATGCCACACATCCTTGGGCCCAAACTTCCATATCCACACAAACTAAGTACCTGATTCACTGGCAACGCTGGTGCCCATAAACGCTTCTCATACCACTCCAATGCTTCCACCAACAATGCTACTTTCTCTGCCTTCTTTAACTCTTTGAGCCGAGCTTTGATTCCTACCCCGGGGTCACGGCTTCTATGTGCTTCGAGCTGTTCTTCAATTCGAGGAACTGTCATGCCGCTGATCTTGTTCCTGTCTGTAACCACAACAATTGCATGTATTCTGGCGGCGGTTTTGGTTTCTTTGGTAGTTTTTGCGACAGCTTGCAGTGTTCTTTGCGGCAGCTGCATGCATTGCTGCAACATGCTCTTCCTGACGCTTTGCTGTAGCTCCACTCGCATCCTCTTCCCTGGCTTTCTTTCGGATGAACTCGTGATCAGCTGGTGTGAAATAGTGTTCCATGAACATGTGAGTCCCATTCTTCCAAAACATCACAATGTTGTTGTATTGCTCAATGGTTGAGCTGGGATTGGTTCGCGCATAAAGGTGCCAACCTCCCAGCCGGCCTTCGTTGTGATGATTTGTTGTCAGCATCCATGCTAAATCTTTTTCTTCTTCGGTTGCGGTGTCAATGAGGCCACTGTATTCAAACTCGGAAGTGAAGCGCTCCCAAGTCACCAGAGCTTCCTTCATAAAAGCCACAAATAGCTCCTTGAGGTAAGGAAGCTCTCCTGCTTGTCTAATTACAGCAGCCATTGAATCAGCATGATGCCAATCCTTTCCGTCAAGTGTTGCTGTGGAGCTGACAGCGTCCGGGCCGATTGCGAGGCTTGGATCCTCGATGAGCTTCTTGATATGCGCTTTGAGATCAGAATGATACGGTCCAAGGGTGAGCACATTGATTGCCTCGGATCCAGGCCCTCTGATAAATCATGCATATGGTGCACTGACTGTATTTAGGTACACAGCCAGCACAGCAAGTTCTGATTTGGTCTTTGCATCGTGCAGCGCATTTGATAAATTGGCCTCCATATGATTGAATCCCGGTTTGTCCTTCGACATCTTCATGATCTCCAGAAAATTGATGTACTCCGACGTGTAAGCAATTAACTCGGCGGCGCCAGCACAGTAGCAATGATAACAAATGCTGCTTGTGTCAGGGAAGTTGCATGACTGCTTAAGGATGGATTGGAAGTGCATTCAGTAAGTGTCTTGCTGCTCCTTCTTATCGTTGTTATGATTAAGAATGGCGCCTGCTATGCTGACCGCTTTGACTCCGCCAGCAGATGTCACATCCATGGCTCGCTGCTGAGCTTTTGTAGGTGGTGTTGAATCTGTCGCAATCACCGCTGTAAAATCAGTATCTGAGTCGACACCTCGTTCATCTGGTGGATCTGGGGGCTCGTCCATCTCCCGCAAGGTGGCCGCATTATCTCGGTTTGCAAGTTGAATAGGGCCGGGTATGTTGTTCTCTTTCCACCATGCCATCATCCGTTTGTTAGCACATTTGACCGAGTTCAGCTCTTTGTGCATGGAACACCCTGCCCAAATGAAGAGCATCAACTTCCTGTGATCACCTTCTGGCATAGCAGCAAGTTCTTCCTTTCCCAGGCGAATGGTGAGCCTCTTCATCATCACTACATCTCTGGCCACCTGTTGAGCAACAGAAAGCTTCTCCCAAGCTTCGGGACTACCGGCATCTGCAATCTTTTGCGCATTTTCCGCAAACATCACCGGGATTAAGACATCAGGTCCCAATGCTAGTAACCTCTGTGAACCAAGATCCATTTGAATTACCGTCTCTTTGACGTCTTTATTCCCCTTATGTGATGATTTCTGGTCGGCGGCATGATCTCCCATGCCCCCCGCATTTCGGATCTGCATATCTATGTCGCGAAGCTTGTTTTCAGAGCGTTGGCCAAGCAGACTTGTCGCATAACCGGCAACTATATTTTTAAAATTGGCTTGCATGTTGCTGACCTGGGTTTCTGCAGTGTGGTTAAGGGCCGCTGATACAGACATAACCCGAATAACAGCGCGTAGCTCGTCAGAGCCAGGGCATACAGGGATCCGATACGCGAAATGGCGTGAGTCATAGTTAATATTGCGGTGAGATGTCCCGTCACTGCTTGTGGTAAAACCTTCTTGATATCAGTTCCCAGCACACTGTCGTCACGTCCATAATAGCCACTCACTTTTAACTTGTGCCAACTCATGGCCCTGTTGGATCCGTGCAGCCACACCACCCTCACGGATGGTTCTCGACACGGTGCATCTGGTTAATTTTCCAATAATGTTCACCGATAACACTGCCGACCAGCCGGATCATGGGCCCAACAGCTTCTTGAGAATAGCCGCTCTTTGTGAGCGCTCGAGCAAGCATTCGAACTCCAGGGGTATACGAGCCACCACGCATCATCTTGTACGTGTATGATTGCCTGCGAATCTTCTCCTCAGCACTGAAAACTTTGTGATCACCTGTGCTTTGTGTGAATCACCTGATTCTGCAAAGCCTTAACCCTGCGCCGACACAAATCAAGAGCATTCTTGATTGCTAATGCCTCTTCTTCTGTGTGCTCTAGGTCCCTTCGTGATGATGCATGGAACTGTTCACTCGCAACAATTGCAAAATGAAGCTTCTGCTCTGCAGCCTGCGCCTGAGCTCGCGCCGCTGGCAGAATTGTGTTCTTCAGCTTGCAGAGCAGCTGTTGCTGGCAAGTGCAAGCTGTCTTTAGGTGTTGATTTTGACGTTTGAGAGTGTGTATATTCTTATATTGTTGATTGAAGGCATCTTGCAGCGAGTCAAGTGCTGTTTGAGTTTTTAGACGTGCTGTTTCGTGACGGGCAACTACAGCTTCCAATTCCATTTGAGTGCCTTGATGTGCAGTGGCCTCCGTGGCTGCTAGCTCCCGGGATGCTTCAAGAGCAGCTTCAGAGGTGCGCAGATTTGCTGCAGTACATTGCAGCCTCTTCTCTAAAGTCTGTGCCGTCGCACGTCAAGTTGGTGAGCAGCTTTTGATAAAAATATAACCTGCTTACTATCTTCTTGCAGATGCGAGTCCTGTTTCCCGGCAATCTCACAGAAGTGGGAAATACATTCTCTTTGTTACCTTGCCGTAGATTTCCCAGTGTTGCTCTCTTCCTTGCAGCACTGTGCTTTTTGGGACTGCGAGCTGAAGCTTGCCTATTTGCCATACCTTAGCCCTTTGTTTCTGATGCTTAAGAGCTGAATTGCGACGGGAGAATGAGCCAGAATCAGGTAAACCAAGCAATACTTAGTATATTTTGATTGCCCCGCAACATGACAACGGCCTGAGTGGCGCCGACATTGGCCTCAAAACTGCAACACGTTTATTAGTGTTTTGAAACACATTCAGAACATACTTCGCTGAGACAATTTGCTCAGGAGAATAGAGTCTTTTATTTGCCCGGGCAGATTTTTTCCTTGATGATTTTTGATGATGTTGCACCTCTCTTTCGGCACAGTTTGGCCCATTTCTTAACATGAACAAGATTCTATGACAATCGGCCTGGGCAAATGAAGCATTTATCAATTAGTAGCATTTTGTACTCCTCGGATTATAGTATGTGGCATTGTGCCCACAGATAAACGTGTTCTGGTTGGGGCAGTTGTCGTGGGTCAAGATTTGCTTCGCTTTTCAGCCACAACATGTCACATGATAAAAATTTCTTTAGGGCGCATTGCCCAGGGCCATATATAAGCTATCTTTTTACCCCACATCTTTCTTGGACTATAAGATGGCTATAAGCATGCATATATAATATAAATGGGTTGCTGTGAGCCAGCTGGGTACATTAGCTTTCGGCCCTACTGAGCATACTTACTAAGTATGGTATAGTCGCTGGTGGCCACTGGAGGCTAGCAGTTCTAACTCAAGCTCGACGTCGATTCTCCGAACTAAGGTAGACACATCGAAGACCCGACACGTGTTACATAAGCAAATGTTCCTCTTCGCCAACCTGGCTATTCCACCACCACCATCTTGATTAGGTTACTTTTTCTTCCTAGGATGTATGGTAGTAGACCATAGCTTCATGGCCCAGCAAGCACAATTTAATTCTATCGAGTCCCGGCTAAGAAATAAACTATTTTTGCTAAAAATTTAAAACTTCCCCAATCAACTAGAAAAGCTCATTGCGATGAGGACAAAAAATTTGTGAATGGGATGGCAAACATTTTGCACAGGTACGTAATGGTGCACGTGACCTGTGGCGTGTCATTAAACCTGCCAGCGCGTCACAATACCGCACCACAAAATGGCCAGAAAGACCAAAGCAGCACAGGCCAGAGCCGCCAATCTCGCCCAAGCTCGGAAGCCCAGAAAAGCAACTGTGGAAGACTACATCAGTGATATCGTGCCGCTGCTGCAAATGCGCCGGTAAGCTAATTTTTTTCAATTTGCCGGAATCACTAGCTGATAGGATAATGAATAGGTATGCAAATCGT